AGAGGAGCCAATATCAGAGGCAACCACCTGACTCCACCAGAAAGTTTCCATTTGAGCCCAGTGAAAGCAGGGATTTGGCTTCAAGAATCATTCATTACCATGACAAATCATTTGCAAAGCAAAAAAGCACAAGTGCTCACTGCATTTCTGGCCTTCAGCCTCAGCATTTACTTAGCCCAGGGTATATTGTTAAAAAAGTTTATCTGTTGTTCTGCCTTGAACAGTATCTCACCGTGTTAAATGAAACCTTCATGTGAGAAAAAAACTGCAGAATTAGTCACTTCCAGTTCTCCTACCTCTCTGTTTATCAGTTGAGAAATTCTTTGGTGTCTGAATACCTAAATGCTGCTGAAGTCCAAGTACTTTACCATGATATATTGTTTTAAAGTAGTATTTTCATAAACATTCAGCACTGCCCTAACTTGCTTTCACTGACATTAAAGGGATTTAGGCTTTTAAGTCACTCTCAACTGCATCAGGAAAAGGATTTAGAAAAAATACGCAGCATTGCCATGTCTTTCTGCAGTCACAATTTAAATTACAACCCTCTTACTAATACTACTATCTTCTTTATTTCTCTTCCTCGCTGCTAGTGCCTCTGTACTGCCCTGCCCTCTCACAGAGCCTGCAGCCTCATCTGCCCAGCCTGTACCTCTGAAGGACAGCGAGCAGGGGAGGCCCGCAGCAAACTAGGTGGCAACTGCAAGAGGTAGCCTTGAGAACTGATGAAGAGAGAGGCATGACATGAATGCTGCCTGTCCAGTGGACTTTTGTGTAGCTTTCTATTTGGGGTTCCCAGCTGGAAGTTCCCTCCTAGAGTTAAACACCAATCAAATCCTTCCTCTCCAAACCAAGCCAAGGGTCCCCCTCTTTCTGCCCAATACTCATGATCAAAAGGTATCTATAAGATGCAAATGATTTATGTGAAGAAACTTGGTGTTTCTCACTTTCAGAAAGATATCAAATTGCTATGCTATAGCCTTATTTATTTATTTGACCCTAGATTTCCCATACCTCAGTGGTCCCAGCCACAGGCCTGCTGAAGAAATCCTGCCTTGGGCATTTTTGCTGCCTTAGGTAGATGAAAGCCACATAGCCCATAAATCTAAGAATTGCTGTATCATGATCTGAGGACACAGTTATTTACCTCTTTCATGATTTGGGTAGTCCCGGACATGTCTAGAGGCATTTAGTTTGGCACCTAAAGGCTCTTAGAAGGTGAAGCTGTGAGGACTTTAAGTGCCAAATTAGGTGGCAGCAGAGCAGAGGTTTTGAGGAGCTAATTTTAGATGTAGGCACTTCAGCTAGTGAATAGTATACTACAGCACAGCCTGCACTATAGCCTTTACAGCAATAGCTGTACTAACCTTAAACATGCCAGTTTAAGCACAATAATGGTGAGAATAGGCAGCAGTGTAAATTTTTCAGGGTTGTTCTGTCTGCATTGCTTTGGTACCAAGCTAATCCAATTAAGAGTCTATCATTACTTCATAATTACTATATTCATTATGTGAGATAGCACTGTGTACTGGTACACGAGGAATTCGCACTTCCATTTGTCTGTGCATCCGTAACTTTATGCCTGGCATTTTACTTCCAAATTAGGTTATGTGGAAGCTTCACCAAAGCTTCTGATTTCAAAATGCCAGTCAACATACCATCTTCAACATCAGAAACAACTGTGAAATGTAATACTTTTTATGGAAAGCAAGACTAATTTATTTCAGTTGTGGATTTGATTTAATCAAATCAAATTATTGGTACAATATAAAGTAAATGCTAAGACTTCAGTGTGCAATTAAGCATTTTGCTCAAGATTCAGACTGTTTTAATCTCTGTCCTTGAAAAGTATTTTTAGTCATTAATTAGAGGGTAAAATAATTCATACACCTTTTAGTATCAATTTCTGCATAGAGAACCAAGCAAGCAGGAGAGCATACTCTTTAATGTGACCATTTTTCAGAATATACACTAACTGATGCTTTTTCATGCACAGTTGATTTAGTATAAACTGATTGACACCTTTGGGGGTCATCTTTCCACTGACTTACAAATTTGCTCACTCTTGAAAAAAGCCTCCTGCACACCCAGTATTCTCTAGTTAAAGCTGAAAATTCAACTCATCATATTTACACAATAAAAAAAAAAATCCATTCTGCGTCGGTTTTAATTGCAAATCCTACCCAAGGGACCAATCCTCCTGCTTAGGAGGCAGCCCCGTGCCTTCTCCTAGAGAACCAACTGCAGTCAATTATGGTAATGAAATGTCAATAAATATAAAACTTTAATACAGGCTGCTCTTGGTGAGTGGCAGATGAGGACTTGCCTCCCAGACAAATTTGCTGGTGCTGCAAATATTAAATGCACCTGAAAGAGTAGCAGGTTGCCTGAGAGCTCTCCAGTAGAGGGATGGTGGGAGATCCAGGCATCTACTGGGTTTTACCATTATGGCATAATCACTGCACTAAAGCCACTGATATTCCTGACATCCAGACATCTTAACTTCTTATTATGAAGTGAGTAGCATATTTCCCCCACAAGACAGAATCTCAGTGAGGGATTTTGAGATTTCCCACCCCACCCTTAGCAATTACAAAAGGGAAATTAAGTTGTGAAAGCTGCTATTTTTATGTGACCAGTTTCTTAACATGAATTCGTTGAATCAGTCACTATATTACACTATTCTTTGAATAAAAAGTATTTGAGATATGTTACTTTTTCTTATTAAAGTATATATATGCACACATATATATAAAGAAATATGTATAAGTATATAGACAGAAAGAGAGAGAATTAGCAGATGAACTAGAAAGTAGTTTATGAAAGATGATTTGGCTGGGATTTCCAAAGACCAGATCCTACTTTTGTCACAGATTTCTTTGGCCCTGAGTAAGCGATTTAATGTCACTACTTCAGTTTTCCCAGGTGTAAGAGAGAGCAATAAAACCTACCTCACAGGATAATCCAATGACTTAATTGTAACATAAGCACAATTTTAATTCCTTTGCAGAGCTGGTGTAGTATTGTTCTTAACATCCATACAAAAAGTGTAACTTCAGTTTTCTTATGCAGTTGTCCCGGGAGCACTGAGGTTACATATAAATAAAATATCTTATTAAAAGTCAGTAACATATTGATTATATTAAGGTCATCACTAGGAGAAGTTATATTTAGTTCCCTTCAGTTACAGCTCTGTCTTTCCTGGCTGAAATTTTGTCAGGTTTAAAGTGTTTCAGGTTTGTTCTTTTTTTGCTTGCCTTACTGCTGTTTATACTTCAACAAAACCAATTCCGTAGTTTTAAAATCAAAAAGCATATTTCTAAATACATGTTCCTTAAAAGTTCTTTTAAAAAATAGATTTTAGGGAATCAGTGCATAGAAAAGCAAAATTTCACAGTAGTGGTCTCTTTCCTTGGGTCATTCTTTATTAACTACCTTATTATAGGAGACCTTAAAGATGGGATTATAGCACTGATACTTTTAAACAATTCATTAACCCCAAGTGTGTACTTACCATTGTGCTTAGTCTTCTTTTAAAGCCAGACTTCACTTACATGTGCTTACATGGAGTCTGGTTAGCAATTTCCCTCTTGTTATGGAGGCTCCTAAAAGACAAAGGTGTTGGTAATATTAGAGCAGCCAGGCAAGAAAAGGCACTTTGAAAATGCGTCAATAACCAATTTAGGTCTCAGCCAGTTGGCTGAGGTGGTTCATCACAGAAGTGAGCAACACACCTGGCCCCTTCCTTGGGACAGTGGCACTTGCAGGGGATAGCTAGCACTCTGGTGAAAAGAGGGGTAACTGAAGGTATTTCAGCTGAAGTAGCTGCTCTGGTCACCCCTGCTCCATTCTGCTGTCACTATGCTGGAGCTGCCCAGTCTCGCCAGCCATGTCTCTGAGCCAGCTCACCCCAGCCCCTGCCCTTCACTTTCACATCACAGCATCCCTGTAGGCTGCCATACTCAAGCACTTCACTGGCCACCCTCCCATGACAAAGCAAACACATCTTTAGAGTGGCAGAGGCTGGTACAGCCATCTGCATAGAAATATCCCTTAATGGGAATGGCATTAGCCAGAAAATTTTCAGCATGCAAGCAATGGGTAGGATGCCCAAGATTCAAGTCTAGCTGGGGGTGTGTCAGCTATGACAGGCTTTAAGCATGCTTTGCTTGTGCATATTAAGTTTTCAATGCAGTGTATTAATTCTAGCTTTCTTTTGGATATCTATGTACAAGTATCACTTCAGAAAGCTCATAGGTCAGCCTACCCCAGAGAACAAATAAGCGCATGACTTGGGCAGCAGACCCCCAGAGAAAGCAGTTCCGTGTGCTGCGGTTACTGCTTGGGACAAGGCAAGTGCAGCTGGCCTGTGTGTCCGGCACTCTGCTAGCAGGGACGGACGCGCCAGAACAAGTTCATTGGAACCAACTCCAGTGAATACCAGGATTTTGTGTAGCTAAGGAGAACAGAAACTACCCACACAATGCCTCTTTCCTGTGGGAATACACCGACATTTCTAGGCTTGAATAGATGTTTCTGGCCAAGTTATGGACACTGGACCATTTCTCATGAATACAGTTATGTCCCTCTGGACTAATATACCCAGTGTAGGCACAAAGCTCACTTCATCAGTATTTCTTCGTATCATACAATTACAATGAGAACAAGAGACACCAAATGAATAAAACAAACAGATATGGGGACAGCTATCGTGTCATAAGCAGTTCTCATATATAAAGCTTCTATAAAAAGCTAATACAGACAAACCAGCATTGAGATTGATGTGACATACCATTAAGATATGTGGTTTAATAATATTTTCAGCATATACCACTGTGCTAGAATCAGTTTATGTATAAAATCATCTTGACTTAATAACATCGTTATATTGAGAATGATTCTTTTATCCAGGAGTCTCCTGGTTGTATGTGACTGCTTGAAACATCCAAAAGTGGTTCTGTGGGCATGACAACAGACAGAAATACAATTCTCTTTTACAGGTGGATTATTCCATAATAGCATCCCAAGCTGGAGCCACCCTCAACAATCTTATGAGCCATGCACAAGAACTAGTAGCAAAGCTTCGCTCCCTGCAGTTTGATCTACGAGAATTTGTATGTCTCAAATTCCTGGTGCTGTTTAGTTTAGGTAGGTACACTCTACTCTTCATATTTGAAAGTATTATTATTTTTTTCTAAAAACATTTATAATATTTTTCTTTTCTTATTTTTTTTCTGAAGAACACAAATTTGGAATCTATTTCATGAGGTTCACAGTAATCTGAGGATTATTTTTTAATTATCATTTGCAGGAAAACTATGTATACCGATTAAAAGTGGGTTTCTATGGAAATTACTCCTAAAACCTAGAGGGTTTCATAGAGTATTACAAGCTTTCTGTATTTCTATATGTGATTTCTGAATATTCCAGTACAAGAAAAAGATTCTATTAGAAATTCTAGAGAACAGGGGAAAATACAGAGTGCCATGTTTCCCTATGATATTGAATTTAGTTATGTAAAGCAGATGGAGTGGGGGTATGGTTGAAATACCCCTCTTTTTCAGCAGCATCTGTGGTAAGTATAAACAATCTTCTTTGCATATGATGGCTGTCACATCATAACCCATAACTCAGGAATGTATCTCATAGGTTTTTAAAAGTGAAAGGAACTCTAAAAGTGAAAATTAATGATAATAGCTTCATCACAGATCTAGCTAGGAAATAACCTCTAAAGGGGAGATTGTTTTGTACTAGTGGAGAGGACAGAATGGGAGATACCTATGCAAGACAAATTAGTTAAACCAGTGCCCTCCAATGAATCAGTCAAGAAAAATCACCGGTGTCAGGAACAAGAAAGGGCTTAGGGAGATGGATTTCTATTGACTTTGTAGGAATAGATTTTTTCTGCTTGTCCTCTGTTTCACGTTTGCACTTTGTTGACTTAAAACTGGTCTAAATAAACTTTGGCCAAGTGAATTTTTATTTACTGGCAGGTAACTCAAAGGAGAGACTTAAAAAAACATAAATGAGGTCAGATCCAGTCTAATCTCCTCCATAGCCAAAACTCCTATTTTACTCAAAAGGTATTTTGTCTACAAAGAGAGTGATCAACTGAGCCAAGCACAAGAATGAAAGAAATATCAGCAGTGCTGACATTTAGTAATGTTTTTCTTTTATTTTTCAGTTTCTAAAAAAATCTTCAGTAAAGGAATAAAATTCTATAAATTAATTACTATAATACAATTGCAATTAGACTCAAGCGAACAGTTTTGGTTACACTGTAACACATCAGTTTCTTTCTTAAATATGTCCGTCCATGTGGTGTTTCTAGAATTTGAACCTTCTTTGGTTTTGGTTTTGCTCTCTTTAAATACAAGAAGCATAAAACATCAACACTTCAGAGGTATAGAACACAGAACTTGTAGGGGAAAAAAAGAATTCTTTTTAAAGACACAACAATGCCAACAGAATTGACTGTTATGAAGTATGTACATTCTGAAATCTAGGAAGAGATGATGGATTTCTCTGCTATTAACATTTTGTATTCAGGGCTTCATTGCTTTCTGTCTCTTAGATTCAGAGAAGGAAAAGCAAGCCATCTGTTGCAGAAAATATGTTTTATGAATTAATCTGATGAATAGCAAGAATTCCGATTTCCGAATTCCTAATAAGTAGGCTTTTCAGTCATTAAACATCGGCACAGAAATATCTAAACAGACTGCAGCTTTCCTCTGACAAAATATTTAGAGAATTCATCCCCATTCCATGATATTTTAAATTAGCTGAATAAGTGAAGTGCATTTGGAAAATTCTCAATTTTACGTGACCTTTTTGTTTGATGGCTTTCATCAGCTTTTCTAGTACTTTGCAGTGATTTAGGAATTGTTCTTGCACCTTTAGCTCTTCCAATTCTGTCAAGCAGTGTGCTCAGCTTCTGATGCAGTTGGGCAGGAATACCTTGCAAGCATGCACCCAGCCAGGTTATCCAGTTTTAATCTCATTTATGCTGCTATAATAATGGCTAATTCTGCCACGAGTAGGACCCTTGTAGTCACATCACTTGCATATAAAAGTTGATGTAACTAAGAAAGCTTTAACACCTTTGAAACCAGTTAGTTCATTATTTAGAGCTATTTAGTTCTATATAGTATTACTATATGTAGCATTATGTAACTTTTAAATTCCCTCCATCGGTTATAAAAAACAAATGTCTTTACAGCTAGGTAGTTCTTACCTCTCTGTATATAAGCCTTCTTTACTGTCCACAGATCTTCATACTTCAGTGATTGTCCACCACTAGTGCTTCTTCATGCCATCCTTCAATCCAATCACTGCCAAACTTTGGAGAGGAGCAAGTCCATCACACCTGTTCCTCTCAGCAGATAACCATTTCAGCTGAATCAGTCCTTCAGCATTTGTGCTCCTGCAGGTTAAAAAGCCAGAGAATGAATCAGTCCTTACACCCAGCACAGTCATCATGATCACACTGGAGTTTATCATCTTGTGCGTGGTTTGGACTCAGCTGTATTTTAGATTAACAAGAACCTTGACTCATAAGGACATTAAAGGACAAGCAGAGACCCCCTTCCTTCACAGCTTCACTGCACCATCACTGGTCAGTCAGTTACTCTGTCACGACATCGAAAGTTTGGTGTAATTTGAAGTCCATCACATTACTTTGATCTGGTTACATAATCTACTGCATTAGTCCATCAGGGTTCTCTTAAAGAATCACAAACTTTGTGTAAGACAGTTCCCTGTGGCAATTCCCTCAGTGCCTACCTCCTCACTACATACAAACAAATATATGTTGCTTTCCTCTCTTACCACACACAACAACAACATTACACAACTGCACCAGTCTGATACCTGAGATCACAGTGAATCAAATAGAAACAGATATTGTGATCAAAATTGCCCTTCACAGTTTTTGGTTGTGTAGCCTGGTATAACTGCTAAGGCATTTTCTAGTCACTTTTCCCCCTATTTGATCTCTGATGGACATGCCTGAATTCTGTACCAATGTCTGTCTTTGATGCAAATGGTACACTAGATGCTGATTGAATGTTTTATTTGAAGATGTGCTGGACTGCCGAAGCTGAGGCATTTTATCGGAAAGGAGCAATCCATCCACCAGGGTGATTTATTTGAAAGAATTCTTCTGTTTAGGTGGTCTAGAAATAGCAACTTCTGTTATCAATCTCAATTTCAATTATCCTGAGCTATTATCTTGCTTTCAAGTGAATCAGGACACCAGTTCTGACAGCAATTATCCTTGCTCACCTTTCTTTGACCTAGGTTTACATCATATTTGCAAACCCCAAAACTTGTGTCTTCTGGGGCATTATTCCTGTGTTTTCACTTGTAGAAGTGTTCCCCCTTGATTCTAACAAAATGAATGAATCACAGAATCATTATAGAATGGTGTGTGTTTTAAGCGACCTTAAAGAGCATCTACATCCAAGCCCCCTGCCATGGGCCCGGACACCTTCCATTAGACCAGGTTGCTCAAAGCTCTATGCAACCTGGCCCGAATGAAGGCAATCAGCATGCCAAAACACAATTTAACTCAGGTATATTAGCCATTTTTTTTCCCCCATGATCTGAAGATATATGAATAAAAATATCAGTAGCTCAAGAGATATGTAAACCTGGATTTTCTTGACTACTGAGTTGCACTTGGCAGGTTTCTTTCAAGCAAAAAGAAACAAGACAGAGCCATGACAATTCAACAACTGTAATAACACAGTTGATGGAAAGATACCGGCCAGGCATAAGTCGCAAAACTGTGAAATAAAGAAATCTTTAACAGATTGGAGTGTTAAACCTATTTTTAACACTGCTTTATGAACTCATGTTCAAAATATAGAAAAAGCACATCTGAGAAAGATGATGGTCACACAGCTGTATAACAGTTCATCAAATTTACCACTTAATTAAAGCAAACTTATCTGGCTTTCCCAAAGCTAGCCAAATTGAGAATAATACAATTTCTTTACCCTAATCCCAGAGTAATAATATGCCTAATTTTTCTATAGCATATAACCAGTATAGTCCACAGTACACATTATCACAAAGTAGTTTTAAAAATAAATACAAATTGTTTCTTTGTCTTAATGATTGCTGGTTTGAATTGAGAAACACTACAGATAGAAAAAGCAAATGTGTCAGTTTATCACCCTTTTTGAATTTTCACTACCAAATTTGACATTAGCTTGGAAATTCTTTGTCATAAAGCAGAATTAGAAATTAAAAACGAAAACTATCAACAAAATCAAACTGTCCCCAAATATGCTGCTAAATTCTCTAATTCTGGGACTGAAATGGATTGGCATGCTCCACTGGGCTGAAATCTTGGCCTCACTAAAGACAAAGAGAATTCTAGACTGTTTCTAGTGGAGCCAAAATTTGCCTCACTGTTTCTTTTATTTGCTTCCTACCACAGAATAAAGTTCAGATCATTTTTTCAGCAATTAAGTGTGCTAAATGACTACATTTAAATGATGCTTGAAGAACCAAAGGAGTACCTTACCCAGGATGCTTTCTATCATCTTCTGACACAACAGATCTCTTCATTTTACCATCCCCTAGCTTTACAGACTGGTCACTTAACCTGAAATCAGCCATTGTTTTCTCTTTATCAAAACTTCCCATTTGTCCTGCTAGTTTTTATTATCTGAACTCAGCATGGATGATTTGTCAAATCTCCCATCAGAGCACTTTGTAAAGTGAAATGCCAATAGGAAGAAAGTTAGACATCATTTGACCCATGCCAGGCACTCGTCTGCCTGTGGAGCTAAATGCTAGACTAGGCAGCAGCTGACTAGTACCGCTCCCTTATCATTATCAGAACATAGACAAATGTACTTCATTTAAGAAATGAAGGCTTTATCAATGTACAAATAATTGGAGAGCCACTATTGATCCCACATCTCACTTAACATGAGACAAGAGGGTCCTGTAGAAATGGTAAACATTTAATCGCTCTGGATGACAAAAAATGGGCTCTTGTTTATGCAACAACAAGAAATAAAAAAGGAACTCAGTTTTGAAACCACAGCCGTACTTAAGGGTTCAGCAGAAATCCATCTGGATCTGCAACACTCCATTCCAATTTCTCTTGAATAAGAGGGATATTAGCAAATTAA